AGCACTGAGCCAGGGCAGTTAAAGCAGTTTCAGACTGGATTTTTTCTGCAGGGTGTTTTAGACCTCTGTCTTCAGCTGCAGTCCCATCCCCTGAAAGTCCCACCCTCAGCACGTGGTAACACTTGGTGTGGAAATGCCACTGAGTTTGGGGACTCAGTCTTGAAAAAGTTCACCATCGCTGCTGCCTTGTCTTACTGTTCAGTTGTTGTCTTGAATTTCAAAAAAAAAAAAACAAAAAACTTCACAATATATATTCTTCAGATTTCAGTTAGTGCTTATAATAAAGAATCTCATTACCATACTCATCCCAGTTTCTTAATGGAAGATGTCTGGCCTGGGGCAATGTCTGACACTGAATGAAGCTGGATTGCAGAAAATGGAGATTTATACACACACACACACACACACACATGCTTTGAGGAAACTGCCAGAAGAAGTGTGGAAAAAATTGGAGGACATAATCCATGAATAAGAAGAAAGAGAGCAGTAGAGAGAGCGGCCTTCAAACAGGAGCTAGGAAATGAAATTCTATGTCACACCATTTTTTTCAGGAACAGCACAACTTCTTCATTGTGTCACATGGCAACAATAAGGACATGCTGTGCTTATTCCTTTAAAGGAATATTTTGCACATTTTCTCTTGGGTTTTAAAAGTGCTTAATGACATTTTCTAAGGGTTCAAGAGACAAGGTTCCTGAAATACCTCCAACTGGCTCAGGTCAAATTCACTAAACCTCCACCACAGTCATATTCACTCACAACTGGATCCAACTATTGGTACAAATATATCTCTGATGCTTAAAATCCTCCTCATCCTTAAATAGACTTATATTTGAATTGTGGGCATTAGATTATTCATTTTTTATTATTCCCTTGATGATTTGTTAAGTATTAGAGGTGGGATACCTTACATTATGGTTACTTTTCAATATTTTTACAGTATGATCATTTTCTAGATGGTTTATATAGTGTCATATGCCACTGGATATTTAAAATTGTATTATTGTAGTAAATACATGCAATTTATGGTTTAATAGGTTTTTTTCATTATTGTTAAATAAGTATTCACAAGTGCCAGACTTTCCTAGTTAGGGGGGATTCATACAGGCAGCCTTGGGCTACCCTGGGAAGCAAAGGATCGAGGACGAGGCTGCCGGATAGCGCAGCCTTGATCCTGCCTTTTGCCAGTCCAGAAAGGAGTGGGATTTTGTTTTTCAGAGCTGGCAAAAGGCCACTCTAAGAGCCGCTATGTGGCTCTTTGGTGTCCCTTCTAGCACAGAACATCAAAAGGCTATGCTGGAAGGACATTCTGATGCCGTGTGCCATGAGTAACAGCGCACAGCGTCAGGATGTCTTTGAGGAGGGGTTGAGGTAGCTGGCGTGTGGCTGCCCCTCACCATGCCTACCTCCAGGATGGCTCAAAGGGCCCATCTGTAGAGGCCCTCTGTCTTCCTTTAACCCACATTAGTAGTGACAAATGATGATGAATTAAAGAGGAGGCTTCATTCACTTGTTCTAGCATTATATCCCTTATTGCAATCATACTCCAGAATCAACCCCCACCAAATATGATAGGGAATCCTTTTGTAGAATCAACCCCCAACAAATATGACAAGGAATCCTTTTGTAGACATGTAATGAAATGTAATAAACACCCTGATAACCTCGTCATGTATTTTTGATTCAGCTATATTTTGATATTGCACTGCTGGATGACAGCACATGCTTTGGAGGCTGCAATGACTTTTGAAACACCCCCCAAAAAAGGTAGTGTTTGAATAAGGCATGTAGACCCCAGACATATGAATGGCTTAAACACAAAGGATAAAAGGAGGTTGCTAAAAATATTCAATCTCCACCCACCCACCCACTGAATTTCTTACTGAAATGGAGAGCAAGGGATGGGTTCTCATCAGCAGGTCAAACATGTTCCCAAGTACCCACCCTGTCCACACATTTTGTGGTGTCCCAGATACTGTTACTCCTTTGTAAAGTCAATGAGCCTACCAGAAATCAGATCAGTCTTTTTCATCTTGAGAATATCAAAACAATCCACCACTGCAGAAAATCTTTTTTTGGTCCTTCTGAAGGGCTGTTAAATTTTTGTTTCTCATGAAATCATTTTTTTCCTCAGGCTAGTTTTAAGGTATAAATATGAGTAGATATTTTTTACACACAGTCTATCTGGCACTCAGTTTGGTACATGGTTGACACATGCTCAGCTGTACTCTGTGACTATTGGCCACAAACTCCCATCTCAGCCTCTCTCTTCATGTTTGACATGTTGACTCTGAATTTGCAAAACCAAAAATCCCCTATCTCCCAGTACACTTATATACTGTGATGGCTATGAGTCATCATCCTGTGCGCCATAGTATAATGCAAGATTTTGCAGTAAATTGCATCATGCCATGTGCTCTGACTCAGCATTTTCATTGCAGTCTCACAGGAAATGATGCTCCCTTTCAATCAAAATATTTTCACCATAATTTAAAGGAATATTATTCCAACATGAAACGCAGTCTACCCCAAGTTTACACTCTGTGACTGTTGCCCTCAGACCTCCCAGAATTAGTCTGGTGTCAGGCTTTATCCAGGCAATGTGGGTCACCCTCACCCCTCCATACTTGACGTAGTAGCATCGCCGACCACACCAGCTCAACCTAGGGCCACTGCTGCTTGATCATTTTAAATTTTTGCTTTGCTTGCATGACTAAAGCAATCCCTTTTAGCAGACCAAGATTGTTACCCCCGAATGAATAATGACAACTTGGGGAAGAGGCCCATGGCACTCCTTAAGTAACAATAGCAACAGGCGGTGCCAACACAGCCTACGCTTGCCAAGCCATTGAAACTGAGCAACATCACTCAATCCAAGATGGGATCTGAAGTTGCTCAACTTGACTTGGTGGGTTGCCCAATAGATCATGCAGTGGCCATATACCAGCACTTGATGTCTCCTTGGTCACCAGCTGTGATCTGAAAAAGAAGAAAAATGTGTTAACAATGAAAGTTCTGAACATATTTCCAATAAGCAGAGGACTTCCATTGGGTGATTTGCTTGATTTCTTGAGAGTGAAAACCAAGTGCAGCAGCAGTCGAAGTGGCACCTATGTGAAAAGAGTGGCAAACTGTGTTTGTGAGACCAAGTGCAGCTAGTGCCCTAGAAGTAATACTCCAGAATAGATATTTACTTAGTGGTGAATCATTCTGATGAATAAACAAAGGGCCTGCACTGTGTCCTCTAACATGTATATAGTCAAGGACTGCTCAAACTGGGCAGATGTGAGGGTCCGTAGCTAATTCAAGTGAAATGGTTGAGCCCTTGACTTGTTGGTCAGTTTTGGAAGAATGAATTTAGAAAGGAATGCCATAATCACAAAAAGTCAACATGAGTTTCTCA